GAGAGTCTGATTTTCAGTTTGGATAGGTGTGTTGCATAATCAAACTTAACACGTTGAATTATTGTGCCCCTTTATACACTCCCATTAATCAAAAATGAAAGAATTACAAGTAAAAATTACTGTATTATATGTTTATAATATCCACATTATAATTTCATTATAATTTCTCAATCAACTCGAAATTTAAAGTAGTACAGGCGTACAACTACACTTCTATGCGGGCTCTCATTTTTAATAAAACTCGAGTACATTATTGTGTAGGTACCTACACGATTGTATGATTGCAACCGTGGTACAACGCTCGTGTACAACTGCATAATCGAGATGCTCTCCATAATATATAAATATATACATACGTGCATGCCATTGTCTTTGTTATAATAATAACTGATAAAAAATTATTATGTGTCATTATTGTTAGAAAGTAACCCTCACGCATATACCTACCACCTACAATAATTATAATTTGATCAATAAAATGCTGACACAAATCTATAGATATCATACCAGCTTCTAAACGGCGTTTATCCATCTAAATTTTTTTTATTGTCTTTTGTGAGTCTTGTATCTAATAGATATAATAGAATCTCGAGGAATTTGTGCAGATGTGAAGCACGATCACCAGTCACAGACCGACCTATAATGTGTTACTGTTCTATGGTTATGCGTAAGTTAAGCTCATCACCACACTCTGATGTCGATCTTAAACATTTAGAAGTTCGACATTCAATCTTATTTGAAMTTTTTTGCCTATTTGATTAGTTTTTCATCTTGGCCTATTGAAAATAAATAAATAAATGAACAATAATTGTACCAAAAAAMTAATTTTCTGTCCTTCGTTTGTATGTAGTACAACACTCACTATCGTGTTATACCTACCTTATTCGTCTGTAAGTTTGTCGTATAGGACTTCCGATAATTTAGAACTATTCAGATTGTTCGAATTCAGACTTAAATGTTGCCCAAATATCTTAATAAGGTTTGAGGTTTTCGTTGGTCAGACTAGTGWGTTCGAAACCCACACATATCCCCAATAATTGATMGAAATGTATTGTTCCATATGATTAATGATGATTGTTTTTGTGTGTTTCAGGTTGTGTGATCGCATATCMTTTACAGCAYCGTATTTATAAATATATTAATATTATAGACGATATTGTCGAAGCCATACGATGAGGGTGGAACTGGAATCTGCCGTCAAGTTTATAATTTCGATGCTGCGCGCGGGACACCGGTCGAAGCTAGTGCGCAGCAAGGGCGACAAGTTCTTTCTGGAACCCGAGATCGAGATGTTACAACTGTCGCTATTAACCGTCATGAACCGTCAGTACAAAGACTTCTGGTTCCCCGAGTCGCCAAACCGCGGTTCCGCGTACCGTTGCATCCGGATCAACAAGGACAAAATGGATCCGATCATCGCTCGTGCCGCGGATGCGTGCGGCCTGTCGTGCCACTTGATTCGTGCGTACTTGCCCGACGAGCTCACGTTGTGGGTGGACCCGTCCGAGGTGTCATATCGCATCGGTGAGGAGGACGGCAGCATTTGTGTACTGTATGAGGGCCCTCTGCAAACACCGCACGATATGGCCACCGCACAGCCAGGCCGGCCTTCGTCGTCATCGTCGTCTTCGTCTTCGGTGTCTACGTCCCCCGGATCGTTGTCCTCGTCCTCGCCGCCATTCAACAGCAGCCGCAACAGCCATCTCCATCTCCAGCATCAGCAGCAACAGCAGCACCTCCAGCAGCAACAACAGCAACACCAGCAACAGCAGCAACAACAACGACAACAACAACAGCAGCAGCAACAGCAACAGCAACAACAACAACAGCAACAACAACAGCAACAGCAACAGCAGCAGCAACAGCAACAGCAACAGCAGCAAATACATCAGGCCGACGGAATGGGTTCGTATTCAAGCTACACGTCCCCGGTCAAACCGTCGAACGTGATAACGTTCGTGCCGCCCACATACGGATCTCCAGTACAGTTCGTACATTCACCTTACCAATCGTATCCCGCTTTTATTTCAAGTTAATTTTAGAGAAAACGTATTCACACCGATTCAAAAGGAAAATGCTTATTTGATGTGTATTTTAGTGTTTAAGAATGAAATGAAAAAAAAACCTTAAAAAAAAAAAAAAAAAATAAGAAGCTTAAACATTTAGATTTATATTATTTATTAGGTAAGTACCTATATATATTTATTCAATATATTATATGAACAATACATGTATAAAAGTATACGTGTTGGTAAGGTTTTATTTGCAAACAAAAAATAACWTCGTAACTTATACGCAAAGCACTCGGTACATTATATTTTGACCATTGATTACAGTGATCTCACAAGTCTTTAAGAAGTATGTTGTATTTTTGTAATAATATGAGCATAGGACGTTGAATTATTATTATTATCGGAGCCCCGTCCCCCCTTTCTCGAGATATAGCCTGTGGTTACACGTTTYGCTATAATGATATAATGTAGGTGTCTAAAACACAATATTATGATTCTATTATTATCAAGTTATACTTATCTATTTGTCACCTTTACTGCAAGGGGAAAAGAATAACGATAGTGGAAAAATCTCCTAGCCTTACCCTCCCCAATTAATTTTTATGTTTTGTGCTGAGTGCTTACTTGAGACAACTGTCAAATGTTGTAAGGTCTTGAAAAAATAAAACTTTAATAAAATGAATATAGGTAATAAGAGATAAGAGCTGCTGAGTAGACTGGGTTGTGTAATACGTTTTCGAAGAAAATCGTTTGTAACCATGTTTTGTTTTGTATAATAATAAAATCTATCTATCTTGTAAGTGTATATGTGTGTGTGAGTTTAGAATTTTTTTATCGCTGTTTAAATAAAATTATAATAATATTTATTATTATTTCATAAAGAATATTAAAAATGTTACATAGATGTACCTCTAGTTTAAAAGGCTTTTAAAAATACTGAGTATTAAAAACATCCATTTTTTCATTTCGTTTAATAGTTAATATAGTTTATATGATTCCCAAGCTGAAAAAAATTAAATGTTATGTCGAAAAAGAATAACATACCTATTGTAATGTTAAGTTATTATAATTGTACAACATGTACACACACAAAAYTAATTTATTAATATAATATTCTTCAACCACTACCACCACCACCAMCAYCGCGGCCACCATCTCTCGTCGTGCAAGTCTGTAGCAGCCACCAATATTATTTTGTTTCCCGTTTCAAAAACGCAATTTTTTTGTTTTTTGTTGAACGTGTGATGATTAAAATATGTTGTTCATGTCGGTGCGCGCATGTATGGTCAATTACTACTAGACTTAAATTTTTGTCATTCGACCGTATATATTATACTATATTAATATGATTTTATTTTACATTATATACTGTTTGGTAGTGACTCGCGGAGCATTTCGTCAAACGAATGCGTCCACTTAATTTTCCGATCAAAATTTATTAATTTATTGATTATTAAAAAATTAAAATTATATATTGTTCCTCTAATGTTAAACGGTTTTTTTTTCATCTCAAGGGTATGCGCAATTTGTGCATTAAATGAGATACGAGCTCGGAGACCTACTGGCTAAATAGTTACGTTTTTTGCATTCTAATTTATTATAGTTATAATTGCATTTGTATTGGCAGAATAAAGTGATTACGCGCCAGCGATTAAAAGGATTCATTTTTCTCATTCCACAAAAAGTTAAAAGTAAAAAAGATTTAAAAATTACGCGCAACTACATGACGAGTAATGTATAAATATATTCATCAGAGTATGATTTTTTGCAAATAATTTGAGACTTTTACTTACTCATATTTTATATAATCGTTTGGTCAATTAAAATTTGTATTTATATTTAACTATATTATTTTAATTATGTATATTATTATCTTCGTTTTAACTATTAATTATTATTGTATTTAGCTCTCACGAATGGTTTCTCGTGTTAATTAATTTTTTTAAACTGATCTAACGTTTGCTAGTCGTTATATGATAAATTGATAATATATAATATGCAGGTGTAATATATTATATCAATCAAAAGTATGTTAAAGGGAAATCACGTCGCACGAGGTTTGGGAATAGATATGAGTACCAATATAATATACTATTATAATTTCATATTTTGTACAACGCACCAGACTCGATGGCAGGGGGAGTCTCCATATATTAAGACCTTGTAAATGTATTATAGTAATTGTAGATATTTTGCACTGATCTCTCTCTCTCACACCCCCTCCCCACTCTATCTCACTCACTCATTCTCTCTCTCTATCTTTTCTTCTTGTTTATTTCCATGTAGATAGGCAGGCAGATAGATAGAGAGATAATAGTCATACAATATTGTAGTTTAGCCATTTAATATATCCCTTGTYGTTGCGTTTAAAGTATTTAAAATCGTTTCTCGTGCCGGGCGACGTCTTCTCGATACTATTAACCATATATAAATAAACAAAGTTGTGTGATACTTAGGTTTATTGCATACATATAATATACGTACGATTTATAATATCATAATATGTGTATTATGTTGTACTTGAACAATTTTTGTATCAAACAATAATGAACCTATATAATTGGCCTATATATTAAAATATATACTATTGTAATTTTACTTTTTTTTTAATATTTATATTTATAATTGACCAAATCGTTTTATAATATATTGTGTAAGTATTTAATGGAAAATTAAAACTTTGATGTATATTTATACACATTACTCACCTTAACCTAATATCCCAGTTATACGAATTATATTACAAACCACGTGTAACGGAAACGTGAATTTTAAAAA